ACTACGGCGTTGTGCATGCATAATAATTCGGAGGAAGCATAATTTAAACTTATTCTCCACTTCCATACAAACAGACAAACAGGCAAATTTTGTACGAATGTACATACATAACATAAAGTGTTGTTCAGGCGTATGAGTCAATATCGATTGGCTGGAGTTTGGGACCGAAAACGAAATGGCTACATTTAGTTACCGTAAATTGTATTGCTGCAGACACATGGCTACATTTAGTTACCGTAAATTGTATTGCTGCAGACACAGGCGTCGAATCGTACCTATGTATATATATATATACATACGTGCAGTTCAATGGCTTGCGATATTTTCATGAATGTAACCATTCGGGTGTGTGGTCGATAATATTTATTTAAAATAAGTAGATGTGCTCTTGAAGGATAACCGAAGTTTGAACGTATTGGTAGCGGGAAGATGGAGCTATCAAACGAAGGAAGAGAGTGAGCGCTTGGGAGGAGCTGGGGTACATATTTCGGAGTATTGTCACTTGTTTCATTCATATTAAATCAGCTCGGAATGTGTAACTAAGTGTCGTTCGTTGATTGGAACTGTTGAAAGTGATGAGTGACATTTTCGCTCTGGCTTAGCTGTCTTTGAGTTCTGATTTGCGTTTGTTGTGCCCAGTGTGTAGCGACTACTCGAAGAGCGGATGTGCGCTGGTTTGGAATCGTCGATGGATTCAGAAAAAACTCGGTTGGCTTGAGAATCACTGCGAAGGGCCACCATAATTAGAAAACATTAATTTTCTATAAATTTGGATGTTCGTCAAAGCAGGCCCCGAATTTTTGCCTTCCAATTGACAATACATACTGTTTACCACTTGGCTATTGCCGTTCTTCCTTAGGAACCGTAAATATTTAAAGTCTGAGAGTATCAATTCAACACTCCGGAAGGTAATGGCGAAGCTTTAGTTGCGAAAAAACTCCTCTCAAAAATCCATCACCATTTCGTAAGTTGCTTAGAAAAACCCCAAATCCATCCATGGAAGGAAGAGCGCGGTCAAAAGCAGCTTCAGTGGTTATATAATAATAACAATCTGGCGTATGGCAGTACGAGTTTTTTTTTAGTCATTTTTATTTGGAGGCCGCGATGGAGAAGAAACTTATTATTTCGCTCTCTTCAAGCAAGATTTTATATGACAAACTCCAAAGCACGAAACCAGTTCGAGTCAGTGAATAAGTAGTACATCAAGTCAGAGACATTTTAACACTTAGCTCTCTCTAGTCGTGTTACTTGGTGCTGCTAAGGTAGAGGACTGCGAAGATGATTTCAATATCATTTACTTATTCCAGATGGGCTTGTCCAAAGATACCGAGGACAATGTGGTAGGCGCTCTCATTATTTAATAGTTTATCTTGTGAATACTGAACCATTGAAAATGTCCTTCACTTATAAACCAAGTGAGCAACTGCGGAGTTTGCGCCTACATCCCTTTCACACCGCTATTAGCTAATTTAATCTCGGGTCTCACTATAGAGCTCTACGTAAATAAATCTTTTCTAAGTATATTGGTATTTATATCCTGCACGCACCCACCCCTGCCATTAGAGAAACGTTACCCCCGCTTAATACACCCTTAGCAATCTTTTTTCCTCCTAATCTCCCTTAACTCCACAGCCGTAAATTTCAAATAATTAAATTTTTAACTTTTTTGCAGTTTTTTTTGTAACCATATATGCACGCATCGACAGAAAATACTTTGAAATCCATTAAGGTTGATATGTGTATCGAATTGAAATCAATACGCACTTTTTTCGAACATTCGCCCGTCGGCTAGTGCATGAGTGCCAAACTTTTTCGACTGCCAATTGATTATGCTCGAATATAGTTTGTTTTCTAATTATTTAAAAAGAAAATACACATTTACATGTGTGCCTGTTTGTGTGCTTGTGTCGGTCGATGTGTGTGCGAAAAGTGCATATGTCATTCATGCGTTTGCCGGCACTGACAACTGCACCGCTGGCCGACCGTGGGTTCAGCCCAAGACACGCGACCCTAAAAAAATGTTACCCTCAGAATTATACCGTTTTTTCTAGCTTCCAACAAATTGCAACCCTTCTTTAGCAAAAGTCTAATGTTTTTTCGTGTAATTAGTGTGGAAGCGACGCGAAAAGCAGCTACAATAACAACGACAAAAATCATTAATTACAAGCAAAAGCAAAAACAATAAAGAAGAAATAAATAAAAATAAAAAAAAAACTTCCTCGAAGAGGAAGAGGGTGGAAAATTTATGCTCACATGAAGATTAAAAAAATAGTGGTTGAAATTGGTTGCGAAACAATTAAGTGTTATGTGCGTATGTGTGTGTGTGCATAAAAAATGTGCGAAAAGTTTAGTTTGCGAAAAATCTTGCGTTTGAAAAAAGTATAATGTGCAGTTCGCGAATTAAAAAATGTAAAACGAATACAAATATTAAAAAAATTCAAAAAGTATAAAAATTTTAAAATTACTTATAGATTCTCGCCATACAAATTATTAGATTTTTTTGCGCGCCAAATGGCAGTGGCGCCTCATACATGCCGAATGAGCGTACAAAAGCGCCACATATAGACATCCACTCAGAGAGCGAAAGAGAGAAAGAGCGGGAGAACGAGAGTGATAGCAGCAAAAGTGAAGCGCGCCATCAGCTAAGACTCAACAAGCCATAGAAAACAGTACGACCCGCTTGCCATTAGCCACAAAATATTATGAAATGTGCGCTCTCGCTGTCTCTCTCAGTTTGCTAACGCGTCCACATTTCGTCAAGCTTAGCTTGAGCTAGCTGTGTTTCCCCACTGTGTCAGCTCTATTTGCTGCGGCGCTTTGGTAACAACTATACTGCACGTGTGTAATGAGCGCGTTGCACAAACAGACAAACTGACTTAACTACACTAATAGCGCACTCGCTATTACTACTGCCTCAATTAATGACGTCATTATTTTTTCGTGTTTTACCCACAACCGGTACACTCTCGCACGCAACACAGCTGTTGGCATTTCTCCTGAATACCTCGCGTCAGCGTCGGCAGCGCCGTCGAGTGGGTGGTTGGTTGGACGCTTTGTTTTCGCTCAGTGACAACAAGCCTGCACCACCATCATCAGCGTTGCGCTCTTCGAACTGCACGCCGCAGAACCCTCTTTGATTTTACGAGCTAGCTAGCGTTTTGTTGTGTTTTTGTTTACGCCGCCGTTCGCCTGCACGATGCGCTCGCACGTACGCTTTGCATTTGCATTCGGTTGTATTCGTTTTGCTATGTATGGCCAGCAATATATAGTCAACGCGTCGTAGCGTCGTCGCCGTCATCGCTGCCCCCGTCGTCGCCAAATAAACTTCGTTTGCATGTTGCTCGTTTTTTTGATTGGCGCTCGGCGTGCGCCTTCGTTCATATACATTTCGTTCGTTCGTACGTTCGTTTCGGCTGTGCGCTCGTTGGGCTGCTGCTCGTTTTTTAACTGCTGTCTTATTAATGTGGTTGATTTTAATTTGTTGTTGTTGTTGTTGTTGTTGTTGTTGTTGTTGTTGTTGTTATTATTGTCCAGTTGATTCCGCATGTTGCATGCATGTGTATGTGGGCTGATTTAATTGTTGTTATTAATGTTTTGTTGCTGTCTTTTGGGGGGTCTTCGACAGCGACGTGGCAGCAGCAGCGGCGCAGGCCGGCTGATAGGCTGGCTTGTTGGCAGCATAGGCGGCCCGTCGCTTGAGCAGCGCTGCTCAGTCTTTTGACGGCGCTCTGCCTGTTCGTATGGCTCGCACGGATGACGATCGACGACTCTTCAAGTCCAAGCTGAACTGTGTGAATACATTTGGAACTCGCATTTGAACCGACTACCATCATCGCAGCATTGCACAGCGTTGAGCGAGCCTACAATTTTTAAATGGATAATTATTATTGCATAATAAGCATGATTAATTAAATTTTAATTTTCAAATAATAAAAATAATAAAAAGGTGACTTAATTAGTGCAAATTAGTGGACGTTGCAACATTCCTATGTGTCGCAATGTATTTATTAGAGCGCGCGTGTGTTTTGTCTGTGTGCGTGTATTTCTGACAATTTGAAATTACCGTTATAACGTTTTCATTCTTTTGCATATCGACACCGTTAAAATACTTTTTGAGCGCACTCAAGAATTCGTGCGCTTAATTTTAATAAATCTACAACAAAAACAACAACAAATCCGCCATACTTATCGCCAACTTGAGGTAACAAACACAACCACACAAAAAAAAACAAAACAACGTGTATGCCAAACCAAAAAGAGGAAAACGCAAAAATTGTAAAAATCATAATAATAATAACAAGCACACACACATACATATGGGCATACCCGCACATTTGTTGCGATCTCATTGCAATCGCCGTGATTAATTGCATGTGGCAGTTGAAAGTGATTGATAAATTGCAGCAATGCGATAGCCCGCTTTTGTTGTTGTTGCTGTGGCTACCATACTTGCCACTAATATCTTAACAGCTACTGCTGTTGCTTAAGATATTGTTGTTGTCGCAGAGGCGCACAGGTAGCCGCCATCATCCACTATCAGCAATGCGTTTAAGCCAAAAATAGCACGCAAAGCAAAAAAAAAATGTTTAAAATAATTTTGAAAACGAAGAAACTAATAAATTTCATTTGTGTGCATGTAGCGGTAAATAAAAAAATAAATTGAAAACAAACATTAAGCAAATTTAAAGCGAATGATGAAAGAAAATAAAAATTAAAAAAAAAAACAATACAAATGCGATACAAATTTTTAATACGAGTAAATAACTAAAACATACACACACACGCACTCAAACGACTAAGAGCATTTAGTGTCGCACCAACGCATATTTTTGGAGCTGTGAAAGTGGCCGCATTTTAATGAGACAAACAGCGTTGCATTTGGCAAAAAGTGTCCCATATGCAAGCGAAAAAATTGAAAAAAAAAAATTATTTATAGTGAAAATATTTAAAAGCAATGACGTGTGTTGAAAATAAATGACAAAACATTGCAGTAAAACAAAACAATTAAAATAAAATTAATAAACAAAAGGAAAATTCAACGAAAGCAATAAAATATTGAGAAGCATTAAAAACAGCCACAAACGCAGAAAAGATCCACGAAATAAGGCAACCAATGAATGACAAAATTATTTGAAAATGAGTCAACAATTAAGAATCAATTAATTAAAAAATTAATAGAAAGTTGAGGGAAGCTCCAAAACCATAGAATTGAAAAAAAAATTTAGAAATTATAAATAAATAAATATAAAAGAATAGAACTAAAAATTTCAAATCATATAAACAATTAATTAAAAAACTTTGAAATAGCAAAAACTTCATATAAATTAATTGAACAATATTTCCAAAAACAGTAAGAATTTTCGCTTAGAAATGTTATTGAAGCAGAATTTTGTTTATATTAAATTACAAAATTAAAAATGCTAGAAATAATTAAACAATTATTAAAAAGTTAAAACCAATGATGAGACGTCTAAATTTATAAAAATTAAAATAATAACAACTATTATTTAATTCAAGGAAAACTTTTTAAAATCATTTCATCATCTAAAAGATTTTTTCCTATAAACAGCATAGAAAATTGATTCTCGCCTAATTATATGAAAACAAGGTAAGATCATTAATATTTATTATGGAACATTTTTGAAATACATTACTACTCAGGATAGTCTCGTTCACTTACTTAAACCACTGAAGCTTTGTTTATTTGATTTAATACATGAATATTTTCTTTTTAAACGTATAATTATTGTGGTTGCTTGAATTTGAAGAAACATTTTTTGGATGTTTTTTTTGACTACATTAAGTTGTTCGAATTTCTATTCTTTTTTAATTTATTAAAGCAAGTGTAGTAAAAGCTACACGCGGTGGTTTCAAAACATATTTTCTTTCCCAGAGAAATATTGAAAAATTAAGTCCCGAGTGTATTTTTATGCATATAACAAAAACAATATGTTTAAGCACATAACAGCGCAGGAGCCAAGAATAAAAGTTCTATCGGATATAAAATAACCTTTCTCAAACCAATTATGAATAAAAAATTAATGAAGTGAGCAGTTGGGTTATAAAACGTCCGCATTAACTTTTCAAGATAAGAACCGTTATTTCAATTTTTTTCACGTATGGGTTAATTTCCGAGTATGTAAAAATATAAGTTTTTCTGCCTCCAGTGTGAACCGATACCAATTATAAAGAATTTGGATCGATTATAAGTCGGGAGTATGCTATAACTGTTACACCGTTAAGGTCTCTGCAAGAGGGCAAATAAAGAATACTGTAAAAATCCAGTTGTTAGGGTCAGTAAAGGGGTTAAGGTTAGATTTTTTTGAAATTCGTATGCATTGGGCAAATGTGATAATTCTCAAATTGAGGCCGTGAAAATAAAAAAACACTATATGCTGTTACTACATCCCCAATATTTTCCTATTATTTAAAAAAGTAAAAATTTGCTCTCTCCAAAATTGCTGGCAGAAAATTAATATTTCTCTAAATTTCTAGTGGGAACCAAGTACGGTCAACCCAAATATTTGTAATCCCGAATGATCGATTGATTTAGCGGGTGGGAGGGCTTGGAGATAAGATTTCGATTAATCAATTTATGTTTTGATTACTTAGTTTGTGGTGACAAAGGAAGACTTCCGCTTCAGTTGAAGAATCAAGTTGTTTCCTTATTCAATTAAAAAGATTTACCCAGGAAATAAATTTTTCAGCTTATTTGAAAATGATTGCAATCAGCATTCACATGTTTAATTAATAGACGTTGAAAGTAACTATTGATTGACTGATTGGATGAAAGCAGAGCGGTCTTCATGCCTTTCATAACCAGAATATTTACTTTTAAGGTTAAATATTAATCTCAGCATCACAATTTAATTCATCGTGTTAGTGCTTTTAGACGAATTTTGAACAATTTATGACTTGAAATCTCATATGTATGCTAAGTCTGATATGATCGAAATAATATCTCACAAACAAATACGCGCAAACAGACAGAAAATCAAATTTAAGTTTTAATGGGTCTGTTTTCCCTCTGGTACTTACATATTTTGGACCAATGCCGTTTCAGATACATAAGAGGCATAAAAATCTCATAAATCTAAGATAGAATATATAAAATTATTTATCCAAATTAAAAATAATAAAACTATTTTTTTAGTGTCCATCTCGTAAATTCTAAAATTGGTTTAAATTTGTAGAATTACCGTAACGAATAGAATAATTACTAATGCAATATTTTCAAGCTTATAATTTTAATTTCAAAATATTTTTAATTGAAAAGTTAATTATAAAAATGAATGAAAACTCTAATTCCAAAATTAATCATAATTATTGTGAGGAGCAATTTATTTGCAACTTATCGAGTCAGTGAACAACAAATTTATTAACAAGTAATTCAAATAAAATCTACAAAATCTGCTGTTAATTCAGGTAAAACTGTGTACGCTTGTAATAAATTTTGCATTTTTGTGCTATAAAAATGCAATTCGCATGCAAACTAAGCTAAGATGACAACTACAACAACAATTAAAAAAAAAAATACCGACAATGACAACAACAACAATAACAATGCTAATTTTCCTATATAATTAATATACAAAGCGTCGCTTATTTTTTGAAACTCTCCAACTAATGTGCGATCACTACGTTTGTGTGCATGTGAGATGCATAAAATAAGTGTGCGTGTGTGTATGTGAATTTAAATCAATTTGCATGTGTTTGTTTAGTTTCCAAAGTTGAAGGACAACCAGTGTCAGCTTTGGCAGAGTCTATTGACTTCTCACTAAGTAGACGGTTAGTAAGCTAACTAGCTGATGGTGTTGTTGTTATAATTAAAAGCAACTTGCATTAGAAGCAATTGTTAGGCGTAATTAAGTTACAGCAAAAATAAAAATAAAAATATAAACAATATATATAATAAAAAGCTAATAATGAAAAACTTTGTATAAAAAATTAGAATTTCCATTTAATTTTAATTACCGTTGTTGTTTATTATTTTATGTATATTTTTTTTTTGTTTGTACTACATAGTTAATTACTTAATATGCAATTTGCAACTATATACTTCTTAATGTATTGGTATGTAAGTGTGTGTGCGTATTTTCATTAAAAAAAAGTAGTCGATCACACTATTAATTACAACTAATTCAGCTAATTATTCTAATTACAAGCGGTTTGGGGTCAGCGGCGTGTAGAAATAAATAATCGTTTGGAGCAAAATCGAAACAAAGTTGAAAAATAAATAACCACAACAACAAATAAAAAACAATTGCATTAAAAATGTTATAAAATTGTTGCTAGAAAATTCTTATTGTTACGACTTTTTTTAATTTTTATTAATTAATTCAATCGAAGTAGAATTTGCACCGCCTTAGGCAACCAGCCGCGCTTCTTACCTCTGCCACCGCCTTCGAGCGCTAAACAAGAAGGGCAATGCGCTAATGATTACGATTTTTCTGACAAAGAGAAGTGAGCGGAAATTTAATTACTTGCACAAGCTTGTTTGAGCTTATTAATTATGAATTAGTTAAAGCCGAGCGCAATTTTCCAGCTAAGTTTTATTGAATGAAAATTTAGAATTTTAAATTATTATTTTTTAATTTTTCTGTTTATGCACTTTTGCATCTTAAATTATGAATTGAGTTTATTAATACAGTAATTACGTTAATTTCCTACATTATTTAGTGCACAATTTCTGCATTCATATTTTTTATTGCTTAATATAACGAGAATTGTTTAATGTGAGGAGAATTGTTCAACGAGCAACCATGTTCGGCGCGTAATATTTTTATATTTCAAAATTTTGTTTTAAGAGTGAAATAACTTTAGAAAATTTTCAAAGTTGTATGTGTTAAGCTGAAATGTATTCTAGGCTACAAATCCATTCGAAAATCAAGCGATACTTTGCCTTACCGTTATTCTATGCTTAGCTGTCCTGTGTGGCAAAAAAAGGCGACTTTAAAATTATGTGTGATTAAAAAATAAAAATTAAAAGTGTGGAAAAATAATTGAAATATTTCCATAAAATTTATTATCTCCCAAGGGAGCAGTCCATAGACCCTACTTGAAATTAAATCCTACCAGGACATAACCGAGCCCATAGAGAATAAAAACATAATTATTGTAAAAATTTAAACTTTATTAATTATTATTAATTATATTATATAAGATATTGTGGGTTACATCATTTTACGTTATACCATATGCACAACTGCAGGATTTGTAATATATTTGGCGCTTTGTAACCGCTGAAGCGATTTTCCGCCGAGCTCCTCCTCCAAATTGTGGTTTTGCGTCTTTATGTTTTCCAACAAATAGATAAAATGTAAAAAATCAATTTATTTTTTATAATTATTTTTAAAATTTGTACATTTTTTTGCATGCATTATTTCGAGGCTGGACATCGTTTTCGGCATTTGATATTTCGATATTTTGCGCTTGTTTAAGAATTTTTTTTAATGAATTAATTTTATTTCATAACAGAACTTTTCTTTACAATACTCATATTTTATTTCAATTGATTTTTACTTTTTAAAATTAGAAATACTTTCAGGTCTTCATAATAATCTCTACATTAATATGTTTTTATTTGTTTAAAAATATCTCTTTTTCAATTTACTTATAGCCTTATAAAATCTATTAATATGATTTTTTTAACTCAGCTATTGATCAGCCTCGTGTTATTTCTATAAATTGCTTAGAGCGATTTTTATTTACACATAAAAACATCGATCTGTTCGACTGAATTTAATAGAAGTCAGAGGTCCTAAACCCATTCCAATTATTTTTTAATTACCTGCGGCCAATTTAGACATATTAGTGTTATGTAATTCATCAAATCCGATGATCAAATACATATTAAACTTTTTTGCATTTTTATGGCACAAATGCACATAATTTTAATAAAAACTACATCTAATTCACTGCACAACGTCGAGGGCGACCTCATAAAGCTTGCATGTGTATTTAATAAAAAATAGAAAAATAAATAAAAATTTAATATAATAATATGAACAATAATGCAACACATTTAATAACAAAATTACAGAGAAGAGCAAAAAAAAAACAAAAATACAAAGTTACAACAATAATGACAATCAACAACAGCATCGGTAACAATATGGTCTCCATGTCGGGGTAAGGGAGCTAACAACAATGCAAATGCTAATCATAACATCATTAGCGACAAACGAAAAATGGAAATAGAAAAAATATTAAAAAAAAAAAACAGTGAGCAACAAATGATCGCATGAGTAACGTCGGCAACAGCATCGGCAAGAATAATTGTAGTAACAGATCACTGTAAGCGATATATCCACAGAGAGAGTGGGATATGAAAACATTATACCGTCGGGGAAAGAGGCTGAAGCTAACTGAGCATGTTCAAAGCAACATCAACAACAAAAGAAGCGAGAGAAAAACTGCAAGTGAACTACGCTAATCATATAATATAAACAAAAAAAAAAAAAAAAAAACAGTGAATTAGAGTGGGGTGTCGGAGAGACCCTGTAGGAAAATTTCGCACTGCATTAATTTAAAAGAAAACAATGGTAGCAATGAAAAAATTAAAATAAAAAATTATTGGTAGTAATTTCAAATAGGCAATATTAGCTT